CCGCCTGCTGACTGTGAGTGCACTGGACTTTGCCAGCTGCCCAGCACCAATCACAGTGTGATGAGCAGGGACAACATGCAAGTGGAGAAGCTCTCCTTCTCATGCTGCAATCACCCAATGGAGTGCACTCACAGAGCACTTGGTACTGTGTGAGCTGGGAAATGCATCTGCTGATGTCAGTACTGACATCAAAATAATTTCAGTTAGGATTCGGATAACATTTGGGTTTATTTTAGGGTAGGTTTAGGTTAGGTGAGGGTTGGTGGTAGGGTAAGGCAACGGTTAATTCTGTTTTAGAGTAAAGGATAGTCTAAGATTAAGGGTAGTGTAGAGGTATGGTTAGAGTTTGTGTAAGCATAGGGTTATCAGTAGATTAGCATTAAATGGACACTATAGTCACCAGGACAACTCCAGCTTATTGTATTTGTTCTGCTGAGTATAATCATTCCCTTTCAGGCTTTTTGCTGTAAAAACAATGTATTTTCGGTGAAAATGCAGTGTTTACATTACAGCCTAGGGATACCTCCACTGACCACTCATGAGATGGCTACTAGAGGTGCTTCCTGGGGCAGTGCTGCTGAGTGTGACTGACATTCAGTGTCTCTTCCCTCTGTATCGAAACACTGAACTTTCATCATAGAGATGCATTGATTCAATGTATCTCTATGAGGAGATGCTGATTGGCCAGGGCTAGGTTTGGCTTGTGCTGGCTCTACCCCTGATCTGCTTCCTTGACAAGCTCAGCCAATCCAATGCATTCATATTTGAAAGCATTGTGATTGGCTCAGAACTCAACTTCTGATGATGTCAGCCAATCAGGCAGATTAGTGACAGAGCAAGCAGCAGCAGACTGAAATAAAAGTAAGGTTTTTCTATATTTATGGGGAAGGAGGGGCAAGATGGTGTTTTTAACACTATACGTTCAGGAATAAATGTTTGTGTTGCTGACCCTATAGTGTTCCTTTAACTATAAATGATTAATTTCGATCATAGACATATGAGGCATTTAACTATCAGGAGGACTGATACATGAGTCTATTTTGAGTAATAGTTATTTAGCTGCATAATGTTTAAAAACATATTGTAGGCAAAATTGTGAAAAACATTTTTTCCCATTTTTTACTTTTTTATTCATACTTACTGTTGCTTTAGGTATACATATATGATATTAAAGGAAAACAAATTCTATCCTTTAAAAAAACAATATATAATATGTGGAGAGGCACTTAAAGTTAAAAGGGTGTGGCACCTCCCTCTACTTCATAGTGGAGGCCCGCAACCTCTCAACAGGAAGAATATAAAGCAAAATCCATTGATTCAACAGGTAGGATGCAAAGTGTTTTTTGCACTGAACACAACATAATACAACGTTTCAGCCCAATCATATACATGATTAAGACCATTGGGCTGAAAATTTTTATTATATTGTGTTCACTGCCTAAATGAATTGCACTTTGCTCCTACCTGTTGAACCCAGGGATTTTGCGTTATAGGTGCACTTAAAGAGATTACAGTGTAACAAACACAACACAAATTCTAGGTTGTGTTTCGATTTCGAAGTTGGACAGTGGCCTCTGACTTTAAAAAAACAAGAAACAATAGTTTACCAGGAATCTTTCAGAGGGATAAAATCCTGTAAAGCACTGATAGGCTGAAAGAAACTGTGTGCATTGGATTAACACAGTACTAATGGGATGGGTAAGCCCTGTCACCAACACTGAATACACAGCTGATTTATTTATTTGATTGGCATGTGCAAGCATAGCTTACTTTGCTTACAATGACAGATTCTGTCAGGGGCAGGTGTATTGTATACTTACAAGTTTGTCACTTTGGCCCTATAGTAAGCAATAGTAACTAGTAATATAAATAGTAATAGTAATTCATGTATTTTTAATTTTACATAGAATGCACAGAATGTGGATTCTAAGTCATTATATAATTATATTATCAATATAGGAGTCAAATTATTTTCTGAGCTGTTATTGTGAGATTGTTTTTTTATTGTTGTTGTTGTTTTTTTCAATAGAAATATTTCATAATGGAATGTATAATAAATGTAACTCCAACCAGGTACCCAACATTTTAGAAGAGGTTTTGTGAATTAAGCTAATTAATGAAACCTGTCTAGAAATATTTAATTTTCTGATGTTGCCTGAGATGGAAAAGAACCCTGGACCCAAACACCTTTATTAAGTATAAAAATAATATAAGTATAACTATAATATTTCTAGAATGAGCCTTGACAGAAAATGTAACCAAGGAGACTGTTGGACCCAAATGGCGTGATCCTCTTTTATGTGTGAAGCTTTTATAATAAAAATGTAACTACTCTGTTAACTTAGAATAAAATGTATCTGTCCATATTTTACTTATTACAGCTTAATTGCAAACGAGACAGAAAGGGGTATTTTTATGAACAACTACACACTTATAAACCCTTAATAGAAAACACATGGGGTAGGTGACAGCACTGTAACATGGCTGTGCAATTCAAAATTGCATTTAAAAAAACTCCAATTATTTAAATGTATTTACAGGGATTTGGGATAGTGTAACTTTTTTTGCTCATTGTTTTACATGTTTCAAGTGCTTTGGACATTACACCACACTCTAATGCAAATTACAGGATCTACCATCATCTTGGGGGAAAAAAGTGTATTGTGTATTCTCATCAAAAATGTATCCACTGTATCCACTGGATGGAGGCCACAGATGAAATACATGAATGTCCAATGGCATGCCTCCAAAAGAAGTGTTTACTATAATTGATTCATCCTCCACTCTGACAACTGGTTAGTAACTTATAGCATATTGTGGATTTGATCATAAAATAGGACAAATACTAATCTTTGCAGAGTTGGAATTCCATTAGTAAGGACAAGCCCTTTAAATGGCAGTTCCTGACACGAAGTTGCTCTGAAAATGAATTGAACGCCGGAACACTCTGCAGACAAAGCTTCCCTTTTACACACAGAGATTGTAATTGAAAAGTAAAAGGGAGCTTGGAATGCAAGTGTAGAGCCTGACCCATTTCTCCATAGCATCCCCACTTCTGTCAAAAATGTATTTAATTATGTTGCTCTCTGTATCATGCAATGGTCAATGAGTTCTCTAAGCCTCACTTTTAATTAATGGTTTTGCAGATAGCTATGACTCTATGTCCAATTTCAGAAGCCACTTTAAAATATTAAAAGAGATGAGCTAACCTGTGTACATTATTGCTCACCTTTGCAGTGATAGAGGCCATCTGTGGCAATACCTCGGTGCTGCTATTTTTTTTATTTCAGAAAATTAAAGAAGTACGCTACTCTCTGGTATATGTCTATTTTTATGGTCCTTATTAATATAACTGGTCAAAAGATCTCTCCTGATCGATTTCAATGTAGATAAGGCATTACCTGTGAGCAGGCAGCTTGACTTCTCCACTAACTGCCCTACCAAACATCTGACTGATAGATGTATAATGTAACACCTTCAATTGCTGTGTCAATTTAAAAAAGCTCTGTCATTCCCCTCCAGGAAAATTTGTATTTTATACAGATAAAATCTTGATGAAATACTCACATTGACTGTTTTGGAATTTCACTGAAATTCAAACTTACTAAAAAGATACAATAAGACAAATTATGGACTACAGAAACACTTTAGATTCTTCGTGTCTCTCGAAGGAAGAGATGTTGACATTGTGATCTCATATTATTTAATGAGTCAAAGAAAATAACAAATGTACACATATGTTTCTACTTAATAACACATTGTGTGCTCTTTGAATTAAAGTTTATTGTCTTAAATTGACTTTGTATCTAGCTACAAATGTAAGAGTTGACACTTACCTTTTGCCCTTTTACCCCACTGCAGTCACATTTGCTTGTTCCACATCCATTACAAGCCTGTGGAAAGTAAAAAAAAAAGATATGTAATTTATTTCTCTGCTTTATAATGATCTAAAAACAAATAGTTCATGTTGACTGAATCACAAACATTGTCAATTGTATTTATGAAACTTGCAAGTACATAAAATGAACTTGGTGCTGTTCAAGTACTCATAGTACGCATCTCAGCTTTTCAGAATAATCTTTACTTAAAATTACTTAATTATATAATTTAAAATTATAAAGGAAAATAAAATTTATAAAAGAAAACCTGTCTTGTAACTGTAGACTGAATATGAAAACTCATGGATTTCCCCACACAAAAAGGAATCATTGAAAAGTGAACCTACCATAGCAACCATTATTTTTATACAACAAAGAGTTCTGGTGTTTTTGCTGCTCACACAGGTTTACCCAGTAAAACTTTTTCATTGCTGTTTGTCTAAAACGATTGTGTTCCCACTCATTCACCCTTACCCTGTAATTAATTTTATCATCCGTGAAAAAGATCTCAAGATATTAAATGGTCATTAAATGCCCAGACTAAAGAACACCACCACCTTCATGCTTATTAATTACATTGTAGGTAAAACTGACAGCAAAATAATCTAAAATCAGTTTATTTATAAAACTATGTAACAGATTAAAAAATACAAAATATTATTTGCTCCAACACAGTTTTAGGTATATGATGTTTCTTTGATTATGTTATTCATAAAGGCAAAATAATCCGAGTGACAATTATGAAAGAGGCTTGTGAATAGAGTTGAGTTGACACCTGGATGTTCGGGTCCGGCAGGTTCAGCCGAACTTTGAAAAAAGTCCGGGTTCGGGCTCGAACTTGACCCCGAACCCCATTGAAGTCAATGGGGACCCGAACTTTTGGGCACAAAATGCCTCTAAAAAACTCCTGGAAAGGGCTAGAGAGCTGCAAAGGGAAGTAAAATGGGGGTAAGAGTAGGACAAGTGCCCTGCAAACAAATGTGGATAGGGAAATCACTTAAAATAACATCAAAATTAAAAATACAGCTGAACCATAAAATAGCACTAGATGGAATCTTTGATTTTAGCTTTGGAAGAACATAAATCAAAATCTATAGCATGGCAATCAGGAGGATCACCAGAGTACAGGGTATTCTCTTTCATTGTTCAAACTGAGCTCAACTCCTGATGCATGGAGAAAAGGCCTTCACAAGCCTCTGCTATTGTGTACATAGTTTATACTAAGTGACCCATAGGTTGGGGAGGCGGTAATAGTGGCGGTGTAGGTGGAAGCAGCGGTGGAGGAGGAGGATGAGGTAGCCAACACTGTTTTTTTATTTTGATGTGCCAATCGCACATCCCCGTGACGGCGACTTTGCATTCGGATATCATCCATATCAACTTTCGATGCCAGTTTCTGCGCCTACCATGGTGACCACGGGTAACGGAAATCAGGGTTCCATTCCGTACAGGGACCCTGAGAAACGGCTATCACATGCAAGGAAGACAGCAGGCGAGCAAATTACCCACTCCCGACGCGGGAAGGTAGTAACGACAAATAATAATACAGAACTCTTTAGAGGCCCTGTGATTGTAATGAGTCCACTTGAAATCCTTTAACTCTGATCAATTGGAAGGAAGTCTGGTGCAGATCCACTGACCCGTGCGTGCTGCAGCTGAAACTCCACTATCACCTGCTGCTGCTCGCACAGTCTCATGAGGCGGTGAGCGGGAAGGCCGAAGTTACGCTGCAGCGCAGACAGGTTAGCAGCAGCAGGGTGAGAATGCCAGAAGCACACACAGCCGCTACAGTGAATGTCACATCCTGTTCCAAATTGCAGATCAGTCTGGTGATGGCTTCTGGTATCCAGTACTCTTTATTGAAGCTGCATTACGGCCCTGGTATGTGGCCGCACAAACGCTGGTGCTCAACACCAGGGGGCATGCGGTTACCCTGCACCAGACCCTGCTAATCCATTCCACACTGTGACTCCTAACTTCAACATCAGGCATACTTGGTCCCAGTCGTCCGACCACCACCCAGACAGTGTCTGGGTCCTGGTCATCGGACTGCCCACTTGACTGTGAAACTACGAATGGATCATTAAATCTGGTACGAACCTGAACTTTGCAGTTCGGGTTCCCTCGACTCTATTATGGATCCTTTGATTGCTCAATGTATTACTTGGATAACTGGTAATTCTTGGGCTAATACATGCTGCTAGGGGACGGCCGCTCCGCTTTTGCACCCTGCTCCCTCTTGTGCTGTGCTGGTGCCTCTGTGCGACCAGCGCCTCTTCCTCCAATCTGCACACATCACTCGCATGACCTTGATTCCATGTGGGGTCTAGGACCTCATCATCCTCCACATCATCTTCCACCCACTCCTCAACCCTGCCCTCCTTGCCGGTATGCACACTGCAGAAAGCCACAGCAGTTGACACCTGTGTTTTTCCAGCATGTAAAGTCTGCAAAGGACATATGGAAATTGTTTTAGAATTGTATTCAGGCAACAGTTTTCCCTATAAACTAACCTCTCAGTTTGACTTGTGAGGGTATTGCCCCAAAATTACAATATTGTTTAAATACCTCTTGGCTATTGATAACTGGTTTAAATATAGCAGCTTGTTATCTGGTAGTTTCTAGTGTAGAAAATATCAATCTGTTTATCTATCACTTAGATCTGTGTAACAAGTGTTGTAGGTGTGAAACAATATTACAAGTGACCGATGTAGTAAATTCGAATCAAAGTTCCATTTGCAAAAAAAATTCTCGCCCATCTTCTGTGGGTTATTGCATTTTTAAGATGTAGACTTATTGTATCACACTAGCCATGCACAGGTAGATTGTCTGTCACGTTGTTTTGGTGTTTGGTTTTTAACTTTGTAGTTGTGTCTTTACACAATATTGAAATGTATATTAATGCTTTTGTATATGAAGCGATCACAAAAACACTTGTTTTTCACTTTAAAAAAAAAAAATCAGGCTAAACAAAAATTGGTAATTCACAATATGACATCTGAAAAGCACATGAAAGGATGCTGTATGATTTTAAGGTCCTGTTCACTACAGTGTGTAGTGATGAATGTAACCGGTTTGTTTTTACAGCCACTGTTGTAGCATGACTTGTAGATATGAAGAGCAGGCCCCAAAATGTACTATTTAGCAGATTAGCAGCAAAACAATTAGAATGTTTACCACTGCGCTGTAAGCGCACTATTAGACGCTTCTATTTGACTCTCAGATATGAAGTGCACACCTCAAAACTTACTATTTAGCAGATTAGCACCCAGAAAATTATAATTTTTACAACTGCGCTGTAAGCACACTATTAGATGCCTTCGATTTGACTCTCAGATATGAAGTGCAGTCCACAAATGTACTATTTAGCAGATTAGCCCCCAGAAAATAAGAATGTTTACCACTGCGCTGTAAGCACACTATTAAACGCTTCTATTTGACTCTCAGATATGAAGTGCACCACACTAATGTACTTTTTAGCACCCAAAAAATTGTACATTTTAAAACTGCAATGTGACAGCAATATTTGACATTTCTATTTGACTTTCAGATATGAAGTGCACCCCGCTAATGTACTATCCCACTAATGTACTATTTAGCACCGAAAAAATATTGACTTTTTAAAACTCTGATGTAACCACGGTATTTGAAGCTTCTATTTGACTCTCAGATATGAAGTGCACCCCACTAATGTACTAGTTTGCAGAATTCTTTCCTAAGCTGTCCCTATCAGAGGCAGCATCCTCTCCCGACACTAATAAGACCTCATGTGCGTGCGGCGCTACGCGACTCCAGCTTATATATAGAGGCTGGGTCACATGCTGCACTGGCCAATCACAGCCATGCCATTAGTAGGCATGGCTGTGATGGCTTCTAAGGGCACACAAGTGAAACGCTTGTTGATGGGCTGCCATGCAGCCTTTGAAAATGCGCCATTAAATCGCCGAACACCGAACTCCAACCCGAACATACAGTGATATGTCCGTGTTCGGGTCCTGGTCCAAAAAACATAATGTTCGGTATGAACCCGAACTTTACAGTTCGGGTTCGCTCAACTCTAAATATAACTCGAACAGACATACACTGCCTGTCCAAAAAAAATCGCCACCTGGATCTAACTAAGCAAATAGGTATGAGCATCCTATTGGTTAGTTACTGCATGGGTGATTACATTTCAGCTGGCAACAAGTTATTTAACCCCAACTGATGTAATGAGTAGCTTCTAATTTCTTAAACAACCATGTCGAAAGACACATCTAGTGGCCGTTGAAAAGATGTTAGTCTGTTTGAAAAGGGTCAAATCATTGGCACTCATCAAGCTGAGAAAACATCTAAGGAGATTGCAGAAACTACTAAAATTGGGTTAAGAACTGTCCAACACACTATTAAAAACTGCAACGATGGGGGGGAACCATCGTCTTCGAGGAAGAAATGTGGTTAAAAAAAAATCCTAATTGTCGATCACTTAAACGTTTGGTGAAATCAAATCATAGAAAAACAGTAGAACTCAGGGCTATGTTTAATAGTAAAAGTAAGGGCATTTCCACATGCACAATATGAAGAGAACGCAAGGAAGTTGGATTGAACAGCTTGGTAGCCTTAACAAAACCACTAATCAGTGAGGCTAATCGGGAAAAAAAAGGCTTGAATTTGCTAGGGAGCATAAAGATTGGACTCTGGAGCAATGGAAGAAAGTCATGTGTTCTGATGAGTCCAGATTTACCCTGTTCCAGAGTGATGGGCACATCAGGGTAAGAAGAGAGGCAGATGAAGTGATGCACCCATCATGCCTAGTGCCTACTGTACAAGCCTATGGGGACTGTGCTATGATCTGGGGTTGCTGCAGTTGGTCAGGTCTAGGTTCAGCAACACTATGTGCCCAAAGAATGAGGTCAGCTGACTACCTGAATATACTGAATGACCAGGTTATTCCAACAATGGATGTTTTCTTCCCTGATGGCACGTCATATTCCAAGGTGACAATGCCAGGATTCATCGGGCTCAAATTGTGAAAGAGTGGTTCAGGGAGCATGAGACATAATTTTCACACATGGATTGGCCACCACAGAGTCCAGACCTTAACCCCATTGAGAATCTTTGGGATGTGCTGGAGAAGGCTTTGTGCAGTGGTCCGACTCTCCCATCATCAATACAAGATCTTGGTGAAAAATGAATGCAACACTGGATGGAAATAAATCTTGTGACATTGCAGAAGCTTATCAATGACACAGCCAATGTGTGCCGTAATCAAAGCTAAAGACGGTCCAACAAAATATTAGAGTGTGTGTGATTTTTTTATTTTTTTTGGTGCCGACTTTTTTTGGCGAGGCAGTGTATATTAAAACATACAAAATAAAACAAAGGAGTTCATCTCTTACAAATGGTGCCTGTTCATCATATTTGTACTGACAGGGTTATTCACGAAAGTGAGAATACAAAGTGAATTCAAAGTGAATTTCAAATTTAAGGTCAAAATAGAATATATTTTCTATGTCAGGTATGTTTCAGCTTGCCTATCAGGGTTATTCACTAGAATTTAAGGTGAATTCAAAGTGATTTTCAAAAGTAAGACCAAAATAGACAAACTTGAAAAATTATCTAAGTCAGTTCAGCTACTTTGGTCTTAAATTTTTAATTTACTTTGAATACTAATTTTATTGAATAACAATGCATAAATTCACTTTGAATTCTCATTTTAGCAAATAACCCTGTACATCTCCATGGATTTCAGTCCCCAACATTCATTCTTACTAACCCTTCCCCCACTGGCATACACTCCCATCAGCATATTATAGCATATATAAACTGTGATTGCAGAATATTACTGCTCAGTGATACATATCCATAATAGATTGTTTCAGCAGCCGTACGGTGTATACGATATCCAAAACAAATCATCTAAAAATGCAAGGAATTTTACAAAACTTTATAACCTCACAAACCTTAAGTCACTGTATGATCGGGGTTTATCTATTAATCAGTCACCATTATTTGGCATTTTAATCAGTTGATGTACGGCTTACACTGAGTATAACCTCACACATGCCTGCTGCTACATCTTAACATTCTCAAGTCATTATTTCTCATTATATCTCTGTGATTCCTGCAACCTTTTCCATTCATTCCTGTCACTTATACTTGATTAGGACTCATGCAACTTGCCAACCTCGCAACCAAATAAGGAGGTCTGCATGAACTGCTTATCTCTCACATTCCTAGACTAACAGTTTACTGTGTCAAATGTGGAAACAACTGAAACCTGGCTGGTGTCCTAGTTACTGACGTACTACTGGAGATCCCCCAGTGATAGCAATATAAATTGAATTAGATTTGAATACCTTAATTTCAGTTATTTACAGTACAGTTCAGACACAAATGTAATGGGCCAACAACATTTTGTACACACTCTAAAACCTGTGTATGGTCACTGCTGTTGGTATTTACTGAGTAAAACTGGGTGAAAAACATATTTTCTTCCTGCATGTATA